AGTCTTGCCGCATTAGAAGAATCTTAAGTTATGAATGCAAGTAAAATATACAGAATCTTCAGATGAACTATAATTGAGGTTAAAGTGATATATTATTTAGATGCTAGAGTGAACAGATTCTACTGAATATGGGGCAATTTTTTTAGTCTCGCTTTCTTGATCGCGTCCTCTTAGTTTCTGGGAAATGGCATCTTCAAGCTATTATTAAAAAAAAAGATGAATTTTTTTATTTTTTTTTTTATTTTTTATCACATTGTGATTGAAACACGTCGATTCAGCCAATTTAATTCGCTCTGCATATTAATTATTTTCTCTGCATAATTACGATGGCTTTTTAAACTTTTTTTTACACAAATCAATTTTTTCATCTTTGGAAAGCAACAAGATTGCGTAGTTCTGTACATGTTGAAATGTGAAACGAAATTAAACATTTTTGGAAGCTATCTTTTTTTATTAGTTTAAGAATATATTTCCACTTTGGCGAGTTTCTAATTAATGCAATTTTTTGTTCAGCCGAGGTTATTGCAATAAGGATCAGCAAAACACAAGCGATTAGGCAAATGAGATGAAATGCAATAAATCGAACTATTATTGACCAATCCTAGCTTAATATCATGGAGGTTCGTTCGAATTCACAGTTTCTCCCATAAAAAATTAATACAAAACATGCAGTTGAGATCCCCTCTGTAAGTGAATCACACATTTGTCTTGACAATTTGTTGTTGTTGGTATTTGCTCTCCCATCTGCAATCCTTTTATATTTGCATGATATATAATATATCATATCCGTGATTTTAATCTTATTCAGCTCGGTAAAAGTAAATGTTAATGGCTTGTTCCCAATTTCACTCAACTGTACTAATTATTTTCCATTTAGTGAGAGTGTTTTCTTTATTTTTCTTCTCAAGGCTGATCAACTTACAGAGGAACAAATTGCAGGTATTAAACTTTTTCTTTATGTTTGTTTTCTTTTGTTTTGTCTTTTTTTGTTTGTTGTTTGTGTTTCTAGAGAAAAAAAAAAGCATTATACACCAAATGCAAATATGGCAACCAATTTGAGTTGCCATTGTTCTGGACTCACTAGCCTCTCACACATGTAATAATCCTTTTGTGTTTCCATGCAAAGACGAGGCTAGTGAGTCTGGAACAATGGCAATTCAAATTGGATGCCATATTTACATTCGGTGTATAAAGTAGAGTTTTAACTGAATTATTTTCAGATTTAAATACACTCTGAATTTACAGAAAATATTTATGACCTAGATTATAGGGAGCTTGGGTCATGGGTAAATTCCATAGGAAAGGGGGTGAAATTTCTAGAATGGGACATTCAAAAGGAGGGGAAGAAATAATTTTTTTAAACAAGTTAATACTGACAATAAGCTTTGGCTTGCTATTTACAGCTATTAACTTTTTGTTTTCTTCATTCTTAAAAAAAAAAAAGAATTCAAAGAAGCGTTCTCGCTCTTTGATAAGGATGGAGATGGTACCATCACCACCAAAGAACTTGGAACAGTGATGAGATCTCTAGGACAAAACCCAACTGAAGCAGAACTGCAGGATATGATTAATGAAGTAGATGCAGATGGTAGGAGTTTTCATAAAACTTGCTTAACATTGGATTCTTGATCCCAAATCACAATTATTATAATAATAATTGCCAATTCAAACTTTTTTAATGGTGAATTTAAAATCTGAATGTCAAACCCTATTTGAGTCAGTACTGTGCTGTTTTGTAAATGCTTTCTGGTCAGTTTTGAATTGCCAGACAAACACGCTGTAGGTATGATGTTTAAATTGTTACTTGTTAAATTGTTCATTTCTTAAAACCCCCTCCCGGTTAGCTCAATTGGTAGAGTGCCGGACTGTTGTGCAGGAGGTTGCGAGTTCAAATCCGGCCAGACCAACACTCAGGGTCTTTAATTAACTGAGAAGAAAGTGCTGCCTTTTGTAATAATATCTGCAAATGGTTAGACCTTCTAGTCTTCTCTGATAGGGATGATAAATGGAGGTCCTGTCTCCTGCAGGGTTGGGGTAGGAGTCATTAATTTCCCACACACGAGATTACTGTGTGATGGATGTCCTCCCCGCAGTGGGATGGGTGGGTAAAAAAGGGTTAGGTGTCAATTGGAACGAAAGTTCTGTTCCTTTCTCCTGCCATTCCTGTGGCGAATGAATTAAACTTAAACCTAAACTAACTCCTTACTAAAGAGATCTCAAGGATTCAGCAATTGTACATCATACCTGAACCAAGAACAACAAGGGTATCATATCATGGCACCCTTTGAAATTCTGGATTATTATGATTCTAGTGAACAGTTCAAAGAAAAAATTGCCTCCCCAAGTTGAAATAACCCTTGGTTATGTTTCCCTTAGTACTGTTGCAGTTTAATTCATTAACCATAGAACTTCACCAACATGAGTGCATTTTTTGTAGGTAATGGAACAATTGACTTCCCAGAGTTTCTCACCATGATGGCCAAGAAGATGAGAGAAACAGACAGTGAAGAAGAAATCAGAGAGGCTTTTCGGGTCTTTGATAAAGATGGCAATGGTTTTATCAGTGCTGCTGAGCTGCGTCATGTAATGACAAACCTGGGAGAGAAACTTACAGATGAGGAAGTTGATGAGATGATTCGAGAGGCAGACATCGATGGAGATGGACAAGTTAATTATGAAGGTGATGGTTTGACTTTTTTGATAGAATCTTTTTTAGGTTAAGCTGTGGTGAGGGGAGGTTTTAAGAGGCCTGCACTCTTCCTCCTATTTGAAAAAACAAAAACATGTTTCCCAAGTTGTATCCGAGTAACTAAGGAATAGATCAAGAAATTTAGATGCATTCCCTGATGAAAATCTTTGAAGGATACTAGAGGATCCTATAAGATCCTTATAAGGAGGACCTTTGAGGATCTTATTGACAATCTTGACAAAGATCTTTCAAAACTCTTTAAGGATCTCTGAAGTTCTAGCTAAGATGTGTGTCATTGAAAAGTTTTGCTCGACATTTTTCATAGCCTTGAAAGTTGATCCATATCTGTCCTCATTCGAATAAGTAGCTTCCACCCACCTTGAATACTGCAACTGATGTACACAGTAGATTTATCTTTATTATCATGATAATTAACAACTATTCACCAAAGTGGAGGTGGTTAGCGGTGGATATTTACCGAGCCGCGAAGAGGCGAGGTAAATATCCACCGCTAACTGCTGACACTGAGGTGAATAGTTTTTTTACTATACACTAAAACAGTGAGATAATATACACCACCGTCTTTAATTTGAGTGATTACTTCACTTGTCACAGATGCAAACCAGGGCGCCATTTTTTCTCGAGTTGCTCGGAGGTAAATAGCAAAGGATAGTCGGAGTTTGACTAGCCAATCAGAGCACGCCTTCGATGCTATCCACTGTTTTAGTATATACTAATTATTATTGTCTTTCCTATCATGATATTTACTGGCATTTTTCTTATGAAGCAGTAATGGTTCAAATGAAAGTGTTATGTGCTCATGTTTACGCTCTCATTCCATCTTTTGTGTCTACAGATTTTGTTAAGATGATGACAAGCAAGTAAAGTTCTGACCATTCCTCATTGTTTTTTCCTGGTTGCACTGAAAGAAAAATTATGGATGAAGTGAATGTCTGGAATTGTAAATCAGTAAAGATACTACTTGTATCAGCTACATTAAATTTTTGCTTCCTAAACATTAGGAAGATATTTAAGTGTGATTTGATTTATTATTACTGTGAGATATAGATATAAGTTTAATTCTGTTGAATCATTTAAAAATTGTTACGTCATAAGATATTATTAACCCAAAAAAGTTATTTAAAAGTGGTCTTTACCACTTGGTGTTAGAGAAATTAATCAATGTTGCACTGTCGTAGCACTGATAAAATTTGCATGACAGTTTTACTTTTAGTGGATTTGATCCTAATTCAAAAGATTGACCAAAATAAATTCCTTCAAGATGGGAAAAAAAGGTTTACAAAAATTTAAATAATTTTTTGCTTTTTTGCAGTCCATTTAAAAACTCATGTTTTAATTAACTTGTGCTACCAAGGTGAAAAAAATTTCATAAGCATGACTATATTTATCCCAGAAAACTGGGGCTAGAATTTGGATATCATCTGTGTCCCACTCAAAACTTCTCAAATTGCTTATATCACAGTGAATATTACACATCTTATTGAAAAGGAGTTGTGAGCTTAATACAGTAATAATAATATTTTATGAGGGAACCCAACTCACCAAGGCAGTTTTCAGAGAGGCCCTTTTAATTTGGATTGCTTTGTAAGAGTTTTATGTTCGTTTATGAAAACTGGCTTTTTTTTTCGTAATTTTTCTGTAGATTTCAATGACTCCAATGTTTTACCAAGATAAGAAATTGTGTGCAAGTTCTTTCTAGTTCACAAAAATAGTTTGCCTTGAGTCTGTGTAAAACTCTTTAAATTATTTATATCATATATTTGAAATAGATTACTCATCATATCGTTGGAAATACGATACACCTCATTAACTCAAATGACTTGTTTTGCTGTTGTAAGGAAGATCACTTCAGCTGACTTTCATGGCCAGGCATTTCATACCTTTCAGGTTTACAACCATGCAGAAACAGTAACTGGTGACAGTATAGTTCCCTTGCAGATTATCCTTAGTTGTGTTAGTAAGATTTTAGTCTGACCTTCTAGAATGAATGAATGAAATTTTTCGAAACACCGCAAGCTAATACGGCTATAAGCCCTCTAGATGTGAAAAAGGTTATGACATCCTCGAGTAAACTCCTTGACTGGGAAAGTGTTTAACTCCTAACAACTGCAAAAGGCTCTCAAAAATTCAATCAAGAGTTCATTTAAAAAGTTAAAATTTTCTAGTTCGCCCTAAGAATTCTCCAGAAGAGTTCAATATCTGAATATCGAGGCAAAAAATATAAGCGCATGAATCAGTGACCGTGTGTGATAAACGCAAAGTATCTCGACTTATCATCGATGATGAAAAACAAAAGGTTCTTTATAAAATGCCTTAGTTCGGGGGGTCACCGTAAGTAAGCGCATCGCTTCTCCCGGGCGGCGTCTTAATTTCAAACGAGAATCTACTAAGCAGATTGCTCTTTATTGTTTTAACCCATAATTTTAAAAATTATTCGTAGATGAGAGTATAACAGCTATAGTGCACTGTGTCCTGCCATTTGAAGAGTAGAAAAGAGTAGAAATACCTCCTCCAGCTCCACCACTCCGCACACATTACACGCAACTGACACGTACACGCACGCACACGGACGTGTACAGAGACGAACCAGAACAAACAGAAAAAGTGACATGGCATACATTAGAAATTTGGCTGGAAAAGAATTTATCATCTGTTCCTATTTGTTGACATTGCTCATCATCTTCACAAACTCTGAAATGAAAAGTAACAACGCAACATATTCAACGCTTTGTCTTAAAGTCTAGTCAAATAACCTTAAGCAAAGCAGTCAAATAGCTCAAGATAAGAAAGACCTTAAGCTGTACAGACCAGAGCGAGACTAATAAGACTTAGTAAGCTTTAAGTATTTGACTGTGACAAGGAAAGAGAGCCTGGGTAAATATCAAATGAGGGTCGCGAGAAATAGATGATTACATTGAATATGCTTTACTTTGCTCTGTGATTTGTCTAGAAAGCTCTCCCCACCCTGCCCGTTAACCAATCAGATTCAAAACTTAAACCATCTGCATCTGGGTCACGTGCGTTTTCCCGCGTTTCTGGTGGTGCTTGACTATGGTTCGAGTTCTCGTTTCCTTCCTGTAATATCGTCTTTAGTTCTGATTGGCCACTGTAACGACTGCGGGTTGTTGGTTTTTACTAAATCTGAGAGAGGAAATGTGTTTCTGCGTTCGATTCCACAGCTACTGAGTAACCTCATAACTGAGAGTAGAATGGACATGATTTAAACATAGGGACGGTACACTATAGCTCAATTATTTGTGTAACCGATGGTAAAACATGTTAAAATGATCTGCATATGACCGACCGGCATAACTTCTCAATGGTTAATATTTCCATGCAGGCTCCTGTGTCAAGGATGTCCTTCTTACCGTCAAAGTTGACTTGTCCGTCGCAGTCCAGGTCGGCTTCTTTCATCATCTCGTCAACCTCCTCGTCAGTCAGTAACTCGCCGAGATTCTCTAAGACCTAAAATCGTTTTGAACATGTGTTGATAAATGCTTCGAGACCAACCCAACCTGCGGATGTTAATTTGGTCTAGCAGGACGGTTGAGTTGACGTATTCAAAGAACAACTTAGAAGTACACGTATGTACTTTATAGCTTCCCTTGTCATTTAAAAGTCAATAGGAGAATCTTGAATATGGAAACGTTAGCCCAGAGAAGGAAACAACAATCCCTTATTCCGTTATATAATTGTTTGCATGACCGTGACGGTCCCAAGTATATCAGAGATTTTTTTTTAGCTTTAGGGAAACTATGTACAATCTGAGAGGAACCGGCATTAATTTGTGCGCACCTAAATTTCATTTAAATTTTATGAAAAAATCTTTCACCTATATGTGTGTGCAAATGAGAAATGGATTACTTACAAATGTGAAACTGGCCAATAATATCAACCTTTTTAAGAAGCTATTGCGAACATTGAAACTTTTAATTAACTGCTTCACCATTTTATACCTGTATTTAAGTGACTCTAAACTTCATTGTATAAACTAAATTTTAATGTTAATTTTAAGTTATTGCAATTTCTAATCTATTAGGTCTTAACAGTATGTATTAGGTTTTTTTTCGATTCTTAATCTTAGAGGCACGTACGTAGTTTGAACGAGCTCTACGAGCTCCTTGACGCTACGTGGGTAAATAAAGTATTGATTGATTGATTGAAATAATAATCAACGATGCCGTATCAATTTCATCCCTCTAAGAGACGTACAAATAATTCAATAACAACAACAACAACGAAAATACACAAACAAAGCAAAACAAAACAAATATGAAAAACAAAGCACAGCGAAGAGATTTGACAGCAATCGCGCAAATGGCTACTAATCATCTACCCTGGTTTTGCTAAGACGCTGTAGTAGGTTGTAGGCTCTTCTCTGACCTGTTTAAGCTCCTGTGATGAGATGTATCCACTACCGTCTTTATCAAAAACATTGAATGCACCTCGTAGTTCTTCCTCCATTGTCATGTTTGCTTGTTTGGCCACCATTAATTTTAGAAACTCTTCAAAATCTATTTCGCCACTCCCTGGAGGATAGAAAGAACACATAGAAATTTATGCAAGTACAAAGAGCCTGATAAAGCAAAACGGCAATTGGCTGAAAGGAGGTGAGGTATTTCGCTAACTAATAACAGACCCTTAGCAAAACCAAAGCAATAATAGGCCACTTTCGACACTGAACGACCAATTCTGTCATAGGAACCCTAAGCGACCAGATCTAAACGAAATCCAAAGTCTGATTTGCATTTTTCGTTTTAGAGAAACGCTTTGCATCTAAGAAAAAACTGTAGTTGTGTTCCCGATAACTTTCTGACTAGCCAAGTACCACACAAAAACGCTCCACTGCCGGATGATTGTAACTATCTAGAATTAGCCCTCCCGTTCCTCTCCACTTTCCTCACTCCGTCAACCGCAATCCTCTTCGGAAATTATTTCACTTAACCTCACCATCCTCATCGACCTCCGAGATCATACTCTGAACTTCTTCCACAGAAGGATGCTGACCTAACGCCTCGAATACTTGCTTCAATTCCTTGATGCTGATGGTACCACCGCCATCTTTATCAAACAGGTTAAATGCTTCCTTGTACTCTGGTCAAACAAAACAGTTAAATTGCTAGATATATAGAAAAAAAGATAGATAGACAGACAGACAGACAGACAGAAAGACAGACAGAAAGAGAGACAGAAAGACAGTCAAAAAGACAGACAGAAGGCAGATGGATAGACAGACAGACAGACAGACAGGCAGACAGACAGAAGGCAGATGGATAGACAGACAGACAGAAAGACAGACAGAAGGCAGATGGATAGACAGACAGACAGACAGACAGGCAGACAGACAGAAGGCAGATGGATAGACAGACAGACAGAAAGACAGACAGAAGGCAGATGGATTGACAGACAGACAGACAGACAGACAGACAGGCAGACAGACAGAAGGCAGATGGATAGACAGACAGACAGAAAGACAGACAGAAGGCAGATAGATAGACAGACAGACAGACATACAGAAGGCAGATGGATAGACAGACAAACAGACAGGCAGACAAACGGAAGGTAGATGAAGAAACAGACCTACAGACGGGCAGACAGACATACATACAGACAGACATACAGACAGACATACAGACAGGCAGATAGACAGACAGACAAACAGACAGACATAAAGACAGAAAGACAAAAAGACAGACAGACAGAAAGACATAAAGACAGACAGACAGACAGACAGACAGAAAGACATAAAGACTGACAGGCAGGCAGATGGATAGACAGGCATACAGACAGGCAGACAAACAGAAGACAGACGACAGAGATGCAGACAGACCGACATAAACATAGACAAACAGACAGGCATAGAGGTACACAGACATAAAGGCAGACGGGCAGATGTACAGACAAACGTACAGACGGCCTTACGGACAGACGGATGGATGCGCGTATACGTGCAGACCATGCACGAATGCATGGATGTATGAACTGATAGTGAATGAACGAGTCACGGCAAGTTATACCTTGGACTTCTTCTACGGAAAAATTCTCGGCCTATCAGAGAAATGCAGAAAACGTTTAGTTCATATTTAGTTCAGTTTTCGTCTTCACTAGTAAGATAAAGAATTTCATGGCAAAATAAAAGGCTGAGTTGGTTTATAGGAAAAGCTATTCTACTGTTTTTGCGACGAGGAAAGTAAAAAGTGAAAAAGAGAGAAAAAATGAGAAAAGAAAAGAAAATTTAATAAACCACATTGAAAAAATAAATAATTGAAAACAAACAGACGAGCAGAAGGACAAATAGAGATTAACACAACGGTAAAAGAACGTAAAAACTCCTTTAAAATCCTAATTCCAGTTGAAAATAATTCATTTTATTGGACTCCCGCTGAGTTAGCCAAATGCATTGAAGTAGAATTTACCTCAGGGCTCGTGAATAGAGTTTAATCATGGCCTCCACATGCTAAATACAGTAATTTACCAGCATCCGGCTACCAGCATGGTTCTTATTTTGATAAACAGGAAACGTGAATCGCTAATGAGATAACTGGCTGACATCTCTGACAAACTCGCAATTAGTGTCAAAATCTTGAGACAAGGCGGACCCAAATACTGCACATGAATAATCCAACTAAATTTACGTTTTATATCTAGCACCTCAAAAGTGTGGATGTGTAAAACGAAGGAACACAAGATACGTATTACATGTGATGCAATCGTCCTTTGAGATCGATGTTCTGTTCAGTTTTATTTCACGCGTTTTAAGGTTGGACTGACGCCCAGAGTAACATTACAAATTATCTTTGTATCACGCTTACACATTAGGACGCTACTGCCACAAAAACAATTACAAGTGATAAACATCCCATATTTGTCTTAAAAAACTTGATGACTATTGTTACTAAATAATTTAAAGAGCGCGTGTGGGACATTTGTCTCTTGGCACAGGCAAAAAGCGATATTTTGCGTCATTTAAGCAAAACGATGGTAACATAACTGAGAATAGCGCTTCTCGATAGTTTTTCTTATTAAGGCACAGCGTAAGGGGCTATTTGGGGTTATCAAAAACAACTTATCGATCAAACGAGTATCCACTTTAATACTTGAAAAGCATCGTCCTTCTCAAGTAAACATGAGCGAACATTATACAAAATTTACACTTTTTATGGCTTGTTTTTATTTTTTAAGAACACTTGGGCAAAGTCTGAAACAGTGCAACAGATTCCTTAGAATTATTCTTGTATTATTTTCATTCTGCTGCTATACAGTGAAGTTTTCAGCCGCACGTCTTTTTCCGCTAAAACGGCAAATGTTACTCAAGTTCAATCGTGAAGGCGAAAACGACGTTGTCTTTGATTCGCGACAGTGGGAACAAACAGTTATTACTAAGAGACTCTCAACATTATGGAAGTAACTCTGATAAAATTCTTTAACCGCAAGCCATACTAGTTACAAAACACAAGCAGGAATGTAACTGCTCCCGCCCAAGTTCTTCTCCTTATCTGGACTTCACATTTGTACGCTAAATGATAAACCTAAAATGGTGTATAAATCGCAGCAACTCACCATTTCGTTGCAATAAAACTGTTGGTGATGAGCGAGGTTCCGTAAAACAGATCGTAGTCAGTAGCTCTTGGGTGCATATGTCAAAATGGAGATGGAGCTGATATCTGTCTTGCTGAACGTCACAAAAGAAGAAATTTTAAATATATTTATAGATACATGTCAATTTGACGTGGCAAAACATTTGTTTACACGCTTAGTGGCCTGCCAAGATGTTCTAAGGTGTCATCATAATGCGATGGTTTATAGAATATGTATCGTTTTATTTCTCTATCAATATCTTTTTAATGTAATTTTCGGTCCAAGAAATGTTGAGAGAAGGGACAGTTTTGATTGCCTCGAATAACATATCTCAAGTTGCAATGAAATCCCGAAAATGTACTGATACACGCCGGTATTGCATTCATATGGTTGCTGCATTTTGCACTACATGCATGCGCGTGCTTGGAAACGGACCCAGTTTAAGTTTCATAATGAATGTTGTTTTGAAAGGAATGTAACTCAAAGTAAAGAAAATGGTATTTTCGTCGAAAAAATAGCTTCTTTCCATTTATTTCCGTGTTGGGTGTCTGTAAAACACATGTTCTTGAGGAATTCAGCGTTAGTTTTTCTGACTTCCCAACCAATCGACTTAGAAAATCGAGGCCAGCTAAACTGCCACTCGTGTCAATACTGACCAGTCACTAAAATGATCTCTCAATTTTCCTTCTCTCGCTACTCAGTTTCATAATTTTTTTTGAATTCTCGTGTATCGTGTGTATTTTCGATTATTTGTCTCGTCCCTAGACCTCTCTGGGACCTCGGGAGACTAGGACTAGCCCTACTAAAGCGAAGGAAAAGCTTTTTTCCGTCTTTCACTGTATGCCTGTCGCACGCTTGCTGCGTTGATATCTTATTCAAGTAGGGAGACGAAGGGGAAGCGAACGATGTAACGATACCGTTAGGAGGTTTTAAATTTCTATCTCATTTGGGAGCTAAGGGTCACTTATTTGAGCATTGAATCGTCGAAAAGACTGAATACAATCTAAGGCCAAAAAATCTATTTGGATAAATAAAGCCAGAACGAAAACACAGAACAACGTTTTATTTTTAACATCACTAACGTCAAGCCTTTACAATATTTTATCTAATCACGGCTTGTTTAACAGGAAAACCTTATCGATTACAGCAAAAAAGGTACATATGCATTCAAACGTATGCAATATTTGAACGCGGCAGTTTGGCGAGACAAAAACTGCAAATTATTCAGTGGGTTATTCAGATTTATGGTATAGACACCCTTCCATTTACTCATTGCTCACAATCCTGGTAAACTCTGTAAAAAAATGGAAAAAATTAACAAATAAATAACAAAAACATTAACATGCAATGACATTTTTTATTCGTATAAGGGAGAGAGGGTTGGGGTGTGTTACCCATCATGCATGGGTACCCTATAAGGGGTATAGGCTAGCACTGACACTTTGAATAGTGCTAGACTCCTGACAAACGACAAAACTCTCCCCCTGACACGTCTTAAATCTTCCCACCGGTAGAGAAACGTGTGTCCAGCAGGGCCTGGTCGCCAGGCGCGGTGGCCTTACTCTACCTTTTTATTTCCAACCATTATCTATAGTAAGGCTATTTCAGAATTGTCAAATTTACCTTTCAAATCAACAAGGTTATCTTTGTTAACATCTGCCTTTGTCAACATGTCTTTCAATTCCTTTTCTGCCAGATTTTCTCCAGTGACTCGCATAACTCTTTTCAGATCCTCAAACGTGATGAAGCCATCATCGTCTGCATCAAAGAGCCTGAAGGCCTGGCGCAATTCCGCCTGCTGACCTTTCACTTTTGTCTGAGACATCATGACTAGAAACTCGTTGAAGTCGATATGGCCACTGTCTATAAAAATGAATTAGTAGGCTCGTTGAGTTGTAAACTAAACAAGTTATCTTGACCCTGACTGGTCATTAACACGTGCAGAAATAGGAAGTACGTAGTTCACTCAAGTTTGACTGTCACAATCATAGTTTCTGATAATTCAAAGTCATTTTCAGAGCATTTCCAGTCCGTCACTAAAGCGTTTCGAGGAATATGCATGCCCTCTCCAAGAAAAACAATTGCAACAGAAAAAAATGCCACTGGTTTTGCTTATTTGTAAGACAAAGCTAAGGTATCAAAACCTTCACTTACTATCGGCATCGACATCCCTGATCAAGTCGTCCAATTCCGACGGGGAGGGATTCTGCCCCAGTCTCCTCATGACGACCCCAATCTCGTCAGTGGTGATGAAACCGCTGCCATCGTGATCAAAGAGTTCGAAGGCTTCACGGAAGTCTGGTTGTGATTGAAAATACATAAAACGTGCTTAAAACCTGTTTGTTGGAAAGATGAGCCTAGATGTTTTATCTATAAAAAGTGAAAATGACTGTTTTGCTATTTAAATAACGATTGTAAAAGTAATTTTACATTTTACGCTTACATTATCTAACACATGTTTGTACTGTACTTACGTTTCTTCTCCCTCTCGCTGAACTCGGCCTGAAAGATAGTACAAAAAAAAAAACACCAGTTACTTCCAACATTCATACTTTCACGCCAGTTTCAATTAAAAAAAAAAATTCTCAGGTGCTAAAAGAAATGAAAATATCATTTGCTGTCACTGAACAAACTTTATAAATGGTTTTCGAGTCAATGTTTGTTTTGGGGGTAACGAGGTGAAACAGCAAGTTGAATTCTTCTCTAGAAAGCACTCATTGTTTGACTAAAAGATTGTTAGGTTAGGGTTAGGGTTAGTTAACTTAAGTATCAGTTCTTTCATTAGCTTCTATCTAAAATGCAAGCAATACATTTTCAGTTAATTGTCACTTTATGAAAACTGCTACAGTCTGTCAGTTAGCCCAATACCGATTTTAAAATAAAACTGTTTCTTTTCAACAATGGAACCCTCATTTTCGAACTTTCCAGTATACAGCAGCTGCAGTTTTTGACAAAATCCTAGCGTCCATGAGGAGCAGCAGTGGTGATTTACTACGTTTTGCCGCAATATAATGAAACACTTGAGAAATAGTTCATGATTTTATGAATTCCTAACTGAAGGGTGCATGACAGTCAATGACATCAAGTATTGTGGAATATATCATTTAAAGTACAAAATAAATTGTAGAAGAATTCACTACCTTTCCACGTTTGTATTTTATGACAATGTAAATACACATACCATTACAGGGCTGGGATGGAAAGTGCTACCTCGCCAATAAGGCATTTAAAAATGAGACATTGATGTGCAAGAGTCATACACTCTTGTCCCGCCTTGTTTCGCACGACTTACGAGCTTTCAAGTGGAAAATTTGTGGTCTTCTTTAAATATTGAAAAAGCGAAATCATTTAGCAGAAAAATAAATGCTTGATTGAACAAAACTTCTTAACCGCAGTGGGTGTGTTAGTACATTTAGCATGGACTGCAAGCATACGTTTTTGTGAAGAAAAATGAAGGGGGTGACAGCAACGGCTTTTTTTTCTTTGTTTTCGTTATTTTCTTTGTTTTTTTTTGTTTTTTTTTTGTCGCACAGATTCTGTACCTTGAAGTGATACAATGAAACTAGGAGATGCGAATCGGAAGTGCGCTTAAAATTCATGCAATCCATAGTTCCCCTCTACTAACTTTGTGCAATCCACATGAGTTTTTGTTTTGTTTTTTGTTTTTTTTTTTTTTCAGTTCTGTTTTGAACAACTTATTTTAAATGCATTGAAAAGCACTGTTGCGTGACGGACTATGCCGACTTATGCAAATATTTTGTGATTAGTGTTTGTGATCAAACACACAGCCCTAAAATCAAACTTTACCAGTTAAATTGTACAAATTTAACTATTTTTGCAGAGTCGCCGTGCAATTTACTTAAGGTCAATTGATGAACCAAGTAGATACGAAGAAAACCTAAGCTAATTTGGCGAATATTTATAGGGACATTTCTCGACTGTTTACAAGCGTCTGAACGCCCTTTTCTCTCGAAGATTCTGGCGAGCCTTCATTTGCGAATTTAAAGGACATTGAAATTGTATCGCTCTGAAAAGTCAGTCTGATCTGCTTTCAGCTGAGTATTTCCAGAAGAAAATTCACGTCGTAAACTATTTTTTCATCAAAGGCTGTTTCCAGGTACCTATAGCCTCGATCCTGGATAAAAATTTGCTGCAACCACTGAAGCACAGGAAGCGAAATTTTCACGAACGAAAGCGAAAACTTTTCAAGAAACGCTCTCGATTAAGACAGTTTTGTGTCGCTATTTTTGGAAAGAGGGAAAAATTCCATAATTCTTTAAATCTGCGACAAGAATTCAATGGACTTCGTTTCGAAAAGTTTGCTGTTTATGTCTCATTTCAACGTAATAAATGTTACTGCAGGATAATTTCACTTCATAAGAACACCTAAACGCATAAAGGAAAGCATTTGATCGATTTTAACTCACCATTTTCTTCGATTAGATTGATTTGGAACTTCTGTGACAACTTGACGTGCTCCTTTGATCTAACGCCTACGACTACAGCGTCTCTTTGCGAATGATAATTTAAACGATGCTCTAGAAAATATATTTGCAATGCAGAGCAATATCAAAGAAATTCGTGACAATTGTGACGTCATATGTAAATAAGTCCTGTGATGGCCGATGCGGGACCAGCACATTCTCTGAAGAGAGTCGAATCGTAATTAAAAGGGCTAACAGGGAGAACATCAAGAAAACCGATTTTAAGTTGAAAGTGATCAAAATATGTGAGGACAACGAAAGTGTAGTAGAAAAGCTCTCACTGCTTTTAAAAATTCTTTTTCGTATTTGAGCCTGGGACATTTCTAGCATTTTCCCGGGTTCACCGATGCAATGTTGCCTTCAAAATAGATTATATGCCTCTAGTCGAATAAATAGAAAACTAAAAAGCGCTGATTTGAAAATGCTAGGCTGTCATGCTCGATCTTGTCACAGACAAGTGGCATTTTCCTGTGCTGATGCAATGTTGCCTTCAAAATAGATTATATGCTTCTAGTCGAATAAATAGAAAACTAAAAAGCGCTGATATGAAAATGCTAGGCTGTCATGCTCGATCTTGTCACAGACAAGTGGCCCATGGCATCAAGAGGATTAATTTCAGAGCTCACAGGCTGGCGGAAATATTCATTAATTTGCAAACCTTTCGCTCAACCTGCTAATGACCTATCGATTGGAAAAAAAAAAAAAAAAAAAACACTCGACAGAGCTCTACCTCAATAAGCACGTCATTCATGATAACAAAATTCGTAATTATAGGTAAGGTATGTTGTAACTTCATGCTTTTAAATAACGTAAGCTGCTGCTGTTTTACTTTATCTTCTGTTCAAAATTTGTTTCCATTTGTTCCTGCATTCATGCGAATTTATTGTAATGAGCAGAAAGTAAGATAAGGATGAAAACCATCGTGGACACTTGTCAACGATTACAACATTTCCTTAGACCCTTTGAAATTCTCTTTTGAAAATTGTTAAGTCACTTACGGGACAAGGGAAGTTTTCTGGGATAGTGACTTTTCCTAACTGATTTTCCCACTGGCACTACCAAGAAGAATCTTCCTTAAAAGAATGCTTGTTATATCAAACAACAAATATATATGAAATACATATATATGAACTGCGGTTATGAAACGTATATGTGCACGATCCTTCGCAGTAAAGCACTATTTAAGCAATAGTGAAAATCAGACCTGAAAAAAATTCAGGCCTGTACGGGATTCGAACCACTGACCTCTGCGTTACTAGTGCAGCGCTCCACCAATTGAGCTAACAAGCCAACTGGGAGCAGGCCATCAAATTAATTCGACATAAACCCGTAGATGATAAATCAAACAACAAATATATATGAAATACATATATATGAACTGCGGTTATGAAACGTATATGTGCACGATCCTTCGCAGTAAAGCACTATTTAGGCAATAGTGAAAATCAGAGGTCTGATTTTCACTATTGCTTAAATAGTGCTTTACTGCGAAGGATCGTGCACATATAATGCTTGTTATATCTTAAATGTAGTTGTGAAACAAGACAGTGTTGACATGTGAAGGTATGTTGAAAGAGGACGTCACATATGTCACGCTACAATCGAAGGAAAATACGAGGATACAAAATAAATATGCAAATTGATGGATAGAATAGAAACAACTGAAAAATAGGCGGGCAATTTGAAGGAAAGCTAACTTATGTAACAGGACATCCCGTCCTCCCATTATTGATGTAATTTAGCGAAGGTCACGTTCTTGAATATTGTAGAGTTTACTGAAAAGTCACCATGCAGTAAGAGAAGGACATTATTCATTAATGTTTCTGGTCGACTTTTATCAATATAGATATCGTTATTTCCTAGTCAGTGCCGCAATGTTTTTATCAGTCCTACAAGACAACAGTTCAATCTTAAACAGCTGTTTGTATTCGCCGAGGATAATCTAGCTAAACAAAACTCACACTCTCAGTTACAGAGAAGTCAATATCTAAAGAAAGTGTTATCGCGTCAAACTTACCAGATTGGTTTTAGCTTGAATCGATAGAGCTGTCATTTCACTGCCGTTTCATAGGTGTTTTTCCGTACGTGTTAAAACTGACAGTCATTAGGGAAGGGAGTGACGGATTATAGAAGTTGATTGTTTACAGCGGATCGCAACTAGCATGTCACAGATCCTTCCCGATGTGTCACACAGGCATTTTGCGTGTCTCTTGGGAGGGTAATTCAATCCTTTGACATCACGGACTGATGGACAACAAGTTGTCCGGGCCTGGGTCGAGTATATGTAGTTAAGACTTGCCTGTAAAGCAAATAAAGCATTTTTTTCGTTTAGATAGTCGCTGTTTTCCCTAGTAACATCATTAGTTGCACGATGGAGCTTCGTAAAAATAATAGTTCAGAAAATGCCGAGAATTGTATGACAGGACAAACTGTTGATTGTGAGACAAAAAAAGCTTGCAAAAGTGAGTTTTTCTGCAAACTAAAGGTGTGTAATGTTTTTTTTTTTTTTTCGAAAAGAAAAGTAAAAAGAAGGATTCTATGGAAAATAATATTTTAAAGTACATTTTAACTACATAAGTGTTTTTTTCATTCTTTCTTTCTTTCAATTCCCTTTCTTCTCATTTGGAGCAAGAAAAGTCTACTCGGCAAAGTGGAAGCTTAGGCCTCTAAAACTATACGGAAAATCGATGGCAAATTCGATAATTTAATGCATCCGAACATAAGCGTGTTACAGTGCTTCAATCAGCATCACATTAAATAATACAACACCCGGAGCCCATCACTTGACAACACCCGTTCATGGGACAATGTACAAATTGAATCTGTAAAAAATTTATCAATGAAAAAAAAAAAAAAGAAGGAAAATTAGCGAACATGTATACAGACATGCAAGAGCGCGTCGAAAACGAAAAAATGTTTGCGCCTTGAAAACCTTTGACCTAAACATGTGATTTTCATTTTATATGTCACTGAAAGATTCATCACTTAAGCTCAGCCAACCGTTAAACAGTCGAAATGTCTTGATTTTACCCTTTCGAAAGAGAACATTTTTTTAATCTCTTTGCGAGTGAGAGAATGGCGCACAGTTAACAACTGTCTTCTTTCTTTTTCGAACTTCGAGAAAACAAAATTAACTTCAATTGTTATGTTCAAACCCAGCTTATTGTATTTCTTTCTATCTAAAGATAATTGCCTGTCTAGATTCTAAACTATATTAGCGCCTTTATGCATTCAGGCTAACCAACGTAAATATGTTGACTAACAAAATTTTTTCAGCCGGTTCATGCTATGGTTTATTCATAACGTTTATACTTTTGCCAAAGACTATAGGATTTTCGTTTGCTCTTGAATTTTTTAAAACTAGAAAAAAACCTAGCTAGCTCGTGCTTGCCCCAATGAAACAACAGCATAGTTGCCTCGAGGCATGTTTTGATAATGCTTGAACTGATTAATGTTTAGGTAATTATTACTATACACAATGATTGGCGTTCAATTTAAAAATTCCATTCATTTTTTCTGTTCCTTCATCAGATGTTTCCCTGAACTGATTTGCTTTAGTAATCTTATATTCTCGGAAGACGGACCTTTTAAGGTGGGTTACGTGTATCCTGATATTGGATGTCAAGGGTAACCGGGAATAAACAAGGTTAAACAGAAACTTCCATCTAGGCTTTAAATAGAGGGTTCTGCTTGGATGATAATATCATTGAGCTTTGGAGTCCACCAGTGCTAATTTCCACTTGTTTTGTTTTCTTAAACAAGTTCTATTCATTGGTGGTAAGCCACAGAATCTTGTTACATGTTCTCACGTAACCACTCGTACACTCTCACAAAGGTGCTTACACTGAAAACAGGTCGTCGACATTCCCAAATAAGAAGGTACGTTTTGAATGGTGGGTTGGAATTTTCCAGCTGTGTTACATAGCATTTATTCATGTCTTGTAATGATAGCAATCTGTTGAAAAACCAATCTTGAAAGAATCAACGTCGGTTAAACCGAAAAAGCTCCTTTTCTTTGACAGGGGTCAAGATCAAATCTTCAACTCTGTCAAGATGCAACGAATGATGATCTGCACGAGATAACCGGAGAGAGACAGAGACAGAGAGAGAGACAGCGAAAAATGCATGCATAGCTTTCGAATTTAACAAAGGAAAGACATCGAACCACACGTCTCGAGTGAACGTTCCAAGCAGAGCAAAATCCCAGGGACACGCAGCACGTTTATACCGTAAATTCTGAGGAAAAGAGGGTCTGGTATTCTTCCATATATAATCAGTAAGGATGCCCTCTTCGAATTTGAAGACAAGCTTAGAAAATGCGGCTTTCTTTCTGCGATTATCAAAGATCGGCTCGGGAAGACAAAGTAGGGAGCAGCAATTTGCCAAATTATCTAGCTCAAGATTCAACGAGTTGACAGAACTGTACAACGAGAACGCTCCGCGACACAACAAAGCAAAAATTGACAAAGTAGCCCATCTATTGGTGCAGATATTACAAGTTCAAGAAGTCCAAACGGTTAAAGAGTATACCATGAACGGATACACATTTAAGGTGCACGTGCTAGAGGACACGGAGCTATGACATACGGAGAATTCATAGAGGCATCATCTTGCAACAAGGAATTCATTGCATAGTTGTATATACGTTCGGGAGCTTTAACAACAATGGCGATTTGAAATCAGGACATTACACCGATACCGGTGACATTGATGGCACTGAAAAGAAAAGGAGGAAGATAATGTTTACAGACATGATATGATAGCTATTTGCGGTTTACAATAGGTAGGGTATTACAAGTCCTTTTTGGCCTTGCAGACAAGATGATTAGTGTCAATGGAAACCCTGAATTTTACTAATAATAATAATCTCTGGAAATCTACTGACTTAACCACTTTATAGCGCCACTTCTGGTTATCATCAGTCAAAAAAATCTTCAACTGTTACATATTTACTCCCTGTAGTTGTGTTACAACGTCTCTTTAGTTCAAGAGAACTTTTATCTACAACACAGCGGGGTTACTTCAGAAAAAAGAACATAAGGCAGTGCTTATGTCAAGAAAACATTCGGGGTTGAGTGGATTTTGTCTGTGGCATGCCAATGCACACCCTACGGATGATTTGTGTTTCAACTTTAACCTCCATAAACAAGCTCTGTCCATCTTAAGCTGTCGTAAGTAACAAACGGAGAACCTCTGCCATCCAGATAATAACAAGCTTTAACTCTATGATAACTCGTACATCTCGTTTCCACAGCTCGATACTCTTTTATTTTAAAAAAGGGATTTTTGAGGAAAAGCTTAAAAGTGCTGCATCATTCTGGCATTTCCTCTTAAGTGTAGATACCTCCCCGACGAGATAGGTCAGTTGGATCAAATTTTTTGAGAACTTGAGTGAAAAGTTTTCGTTTGAATGTCATCAAACTTTGTGATTAATAATCCGTCATTTCAAAGATGCAAGTCACCCTATCCAAAGACTTGTAGTCTTAATAATCGATTGTTTTATGTTATTTTTTATTTTTGAAAAACTTTCGAAAGGGTTTAGGGTCCTTAGAGCAATCTAACAAGCCATATGGTGGATCTTAAGAGTTGTCAGTTATCATTACGATATCACACGACGTCATGGGTGACCCGTTCATTATAGTTCTTCACGCGATGTACCGTAAACTGCCTTTCGTCAGATGACTCGTCCCGGTTGACTTGGAATGAGTCAGATATATCAGAAACGGACCGACGAGATCAGATATTGTAAATCACTACGATCGGCGTGATTGGCCAAAGCTCTCTTGCACGGCGCGCTAAAAGTTATGTTGTCTTTGTTGCTTGTTTTTCTTTAGAAACGCATATATACAGATTGTTTCTTGGACTCGCCAGCAACAGACCAGATCAAGAGGTAACGGTATACATCGTACCAACTTTACAAGAGATTCGACGAGTATGGGATTGTGTGCTCCTACTCACGAACACGAAAATACCTTTACCAGTCGAGTGCTCTGAGTCAACGTTATAATTGTTCTTCATCTACTTCTCTTGTCATTTATGGGAAACAAAAACAAAATTTGCCTCGTGCCTGCTCGCTTTGTTACAGATCACACTTGATGAGACACCACTACAAATTTAATGTAATAAGGTTTTATAATTGTAATGCTCGCCTAGGACTCGTATGTCTATCTTCTTCGTCTATTACATTTGACGTCATCTTCAAACACGGAAAAATGGATAATCTTTATGGGAAACGCACTCTGATAATCGGACGAACAAGAAGTGGAAAAGAAAATGTGAACCACAAGATAATCATTCTAAACAAGAGATTATATTTTCTTTTTTTTTTTTTCTAAATTATTAAATAGTTGAATGTGACGGCGCTCAATATTCAATGGAGATGTTTTTGGGATTTTATAGATAATTACGTTTAGCTGGCACCTTGCACTGTCATAGTAACACACAAGGTTGACATTTTTCTTGACCTTTACCTCCGGACGAGTTATAAGAGTAGAGAAAAAAAAAAAGGAAACAAATAGGGAATCATTAGCAGATCTAGTACCAAATTCTCCGCAATGACATCATGCGCATCTTATGGTAGACATAAAGGAGAATTTGGAATGATATCTTGGGAGGGGGCGAGACATAACAAGACGAATACGAAATGTTGGCAATTTCAATTGCCAGTAGGTCTTCTACACAAAACATTTCCCAGAATCGAAGGATATATCATCATTGAGCGAAAAATATTTCTCGGAATAGTGTAGAATGCCCACCCTTTCTCAAGGGAGCTAGCGATATCATTTATCTTTCCCAACGAAGGAGGCAGAAAAAGAAAACAAGAAGAAGTTGTAGAGTAGAGACACGGTAAAGTGAAAACCCAGCTAACAATAAGTAGGATTGAGTTTAAAATAAAGGATTTTTCCCGAGAGGTTTAATTTTGTCAGGGATCCAATATTTCCCAGAGTGAACCGCAATTCTTAATTGGGTAAATGGGCGATATTTGCATCAATGACATCATATCCGTCTCAGCTGGACTTCTAATAATTATGTCGAAACTCTTAGGTCACATTGCCAGCGTGTTACACTCGAAAAATCTACAAAATTTCTACTGTTTAAAATTTGTCACAAATGAAATGATTTTCAAAATTAAAAAGACCATACTTTATAGAGCAGTATCTTATGAAACTTCAAAGTAATGGCCCTGAGTTTTAACATACAACGTCCTAAGATTTTCCTTTTCCTTTGTTTTGTTTTTGTTTTTGTTTTTTTTTTTCAATTTGGTGATGGAGGTTAGCATATCCGGTGCAACCTCTTCCCTTATTATCTTAAACATAAATCGTCCTTTATAAACTTTAAATTTAGAGCCACATTTTCTCGAATGAAATACCTGGTCAGACGCAACTTCCAAAAATCACCAAAATTAAGATTGGGTATGCGTGGAATTGAAATTTCCTGTCAACGTAAAATTTGGTGATTTTAGGTATCATTTCAATTGGTTTTCAATTTTTGGAAAAGGGTCCCACTATTAGAACGTTCTGATGTGCTATCTACGGGCACGATTTTACGTGGCAAGGTTTTCCTTTCCCTCTTTCTTTTTAAACCGTGTTATTTATCTTTCCTGACACACATAGAATAACAAAGCTCCTCGGGAAGGGGGAGAATTCCTCGGGATTCTTGATAGGGGTGGAACACCCAATTCTCAAAATTCTGACCTCGTTTCCGCAATTCCGGCCAACAAATTTCATTTTCTACGCAAAAGAACAAACAACAGACAACGCACGATGTTCCACAATCATCGTTTGTGTTACTTTTCAAAAATACCTCCTTGAACTTTTTAAGGCAAGGAGTATTTCTCCACCCCTCCCCTGAAACATGGTAAGACGCGTCCGTCTGGTCTCTTTCCCCCTGTACTATTAAAGAACTCACAAAGTGATATTTGCATTAAGATTCTTATCATAATTTTCCAGCTCAGAAAAGAAGCCATATTGGGTCAGCTATTTTAAGTTTGCCAGCTGTGACACGTACATGTTTTGAAACAAACAGGATTTCGACTAAACCGAATTTAGGAGCACAAAGCAAATTCTAAATTTGATACTCATAAGACGCACACATCTTACGGAATTAATGATCGGGTTAAAAGCCATTTCTTTGGCATTTTTAGAATAAATGCAATAATAACAAAGCTTATCTCTTTCACATCTCTATCCCTCAGCTATATTCCCCTTGTCTGATAAGCTTTTCATTTCTGTCGATAGGCAAAAAAATTTTGCCTCTCATCTTTGCCACCCATCTCATCTCAGCCAGTTAAAAGGGCTACATTGTAACCCCTACGCTTGCGGTATTTGAAAATTTGTTTCAATTGCGGGTTTTAATCTATAGCCTGGTGTGGTCCGAAAGAATCTCTCTCACTCCCAACCCACAGCTGTCAGTCGTGGAATGCTGATTGATCAGAGCAAACTCTTTAAGACTTAAAAATATTCAAGGGTGCCGCATATGATCATTATAATGATGTGATTACATAGCGATCGCAGATAAAATTTCCGTGAAAGTCGCTTATGCAAGCAGAAAGGATCGAATTATTATTCGAGTGAATCTTTGTTCTCTTATGAAACGAACTTAGCCTGGTACAGAACAGTAGACACAAACATTTGTAAAAAAAAGAGGAGAAAAAAGAGAGGTTTGTCAACAACCACGAGGACTCGATTAGCAAACAATTAGTGCAATTAGATCTCACTCATTTGAGTAACGGTTAATCCTAAAGGTTGCTATGGAAAATTCAGTGGCTCAACACGATGCTATATCAAGAGTTCAAACTAGTCTTGATAAAATCCTCCAAGAAACAGAGTGTGCTCTGAGAAAGAGCAAAACAAGCTACCAGGATAGTAAAGTGGAGCAAACACTTAAGGAGGAGAGGGCTTTGGTTGAAGCGAGACTAAGGCGAACAACATCGAAATTCGAAATGGTCAACGTTTTGTTGCAAATTCTTCACAAACAAGAAGAATTAACGGTGGAAGAGTATACGATTGACAATAGCACGTTTAAGGTTCTTGTAATCGAAGACACAGAATTTTAACTCTTGGATTGAAAGGATAATGTTAACAGCTGCTGTTTAATTTCTGCCAGTTGGAGAGTCTCTCCGCAGAGAGGTTTACTGACTTCATGAAATCGAGGAAGAGTTTTAGTTTTCTTATTATCAAGAAGATGGTCGGTAATCATAGAATCTCAAGCGACCAAGCTATAGATTTAGAACCCAAAGATGTATTTTTGTCTCATAGTATTGGTCTCATTTGGCGGCCCAGGTATGAATATTACCCATTAAGGGATCAGACATGATAGCCGGTGTGATATTTATCTGCACGGATTTGACGGAATTATACAATACAAAAGCTGATGTTACGAGACAGTGTCAAAATGTGTACTGAAAAAGGCAGCTGATTAACTTCGAATGAAACTAGACTCCTTTGGAGGAAAATTTGGAAGAAAAATGAAGGGTGCATAAACTTTGCGATTTATTTTATGAGGTAGAAGTATAAGAACTTATTCGTTAGAGGCGTAGAAAACTCTTTATCAACAGAGAGCCAGTTTACGTCTTAGGTTATTGAAGAAAAGCTCTTCGTGGGACTTGAGTATGCATTCCAAATCCTCCCGATCACTAATGGTAAATAAATATGTCTGAAAGTTAAAATAATCCTAATTTTGTTGTTTGTTTGTTGGTTTAAAAATAAAAGACTTCTATGGGGATCTTTTGACTTGTCGATAAAGAGAACCATGGACGGTTTTTTAGGTCTCACTAACATTAGACAACATTTATATTATCTGCTAATGTCCTAATGAATATCTTTCACTGAGTCATGCAAAGCCAAGAATTTACCGACAAATTTTTGAGTCGCACTCGGCACCAATACAGAAACAGGCTGAAGGAAAGACTTGCCAAAACTGTGCTGATGAAACGGAATATATCGATCGCAGCCGCCATTCCCACCATCTTGCCCAAGAGAAGGTATATTCAACTCATTCCTGAACCAAACCTTACAAAGACGGTTGAATATGTAGTAAAATAATTTCAATGTATCAACAAAGTTGAAATGGTAAATTGGCCACCGTTACGGTTATAGAAGCTGACGTTTCGAGCGTTAGCCTTTCGTCTTTCGCTCTGACGAAGGGCTAACGCTCGGAACGTCAGCTTCTATAACTGTAACGGTGGCCAATTTACCATTTCAACTTTGTTGATATATCCAAATTATTTCGTTACTCCCACCGACGCAGCCCCAAACAGTTTCTTTCGAAACTATCAGCCTTTATTCGTTATTGTAGTAGATTACACTTCGCTAAAAAAATAAAAATTGACGCATTGCGAGGTTTTTCAAACAATTGAGCGGATTTGCAGACTTAAAAGATAGCCGGATGGGCTAAAGATATTGGTGTACATTCCGGATTCCGTCCAAATTTCCGATTGTGGGTTATATAATTTGTCTTCGATCGGCCTTGGTGGTATGTCGGTGTTTTGTCGACTTTCTTGATCAGTTTTCCACAGTTAGAAAATTTGAAGTCTAGATACGGAAGAGGAAAGACAGCACATACACAGACAACGCTGGAGGTTTTCGAATATCAGCAAAGTTGCATACCTCTATTCATGCTAGCAAAACAAAATCCCCAGGAGTCTCCTAAGTTCGACAAACGCGTAACCTGACCGAATCCTCCCCAGCTAAAACTTGGGAATACATAATGATCTTCGCTGAGAGATATTCGTTAACTTTCTGCTGACACGTTCTTCGCAATTTTAATATTTCTGTTTTGTTTTTTCTGTATTGACTATTTCTCTTTAGACTATCAACGATAGACCTGTAATTCCTGATGGTGTTGGCAAAGGTCTGTCTGGTATCACTACATCTTCGGCTATTGCCAAAATATGTTTTTTGAAAGGTATGTTACTTTGTTCACTTTTGTAGCTCCTGCAGTGTTTTCCAAATAACTTGAGAAAGGTGATCAAAAGAACCAAAAATAGCAGTCACGCATCGACCAAAGAGCCTCTTTAAAAGGATTACTGTTTGCCTTGTATCAAGTAATTTTTTAGTTTTCGAGAGATTGGAAATCATGATTTATATATATTATCTCACTGTTTTTGTATTTAATAAAACAAACTATTCACCTCAGTGTCGGTGGTAAGCGGGGGATATTTAGTTTTCGAGAGATTTGAAATCATGATGTATATCAATTTTATTGAAGTTTGTACAATTTTTTGCGGTGGATATTTAGTTTTCGAGAGATTTTAAATCATGATATATATTAATTTTATTGAAGGTCATTGAAGTTTGTACAAATGTTTTGGTTTTGTGTATTACCTCACTGTTTTTGTATATACTAAAACAACTATTCACCTCAGTGTCGATTGTTAGCAGTGGATATTTAGTTTTCGAGAGATTTGAAATCATGACAAAGTGTGACTTGATTTTCGTAGAACAGTGCTCAATACATAGAAGTAGAGCGAAGTATATATTGTGGGAGGAAAAAGACAAGTAAACTACAAGTTCATCCCTACAAGCCTGTTTCGTGGTCGCCCACTCATCAGGGGATTTAATGAGAATAAACTTTACCATTGCTTATATACAATATAATTTGCATGATCTAACTAGTCTAATTTATGCAGCGCGAAATTGACAGTTTAGTTGTTGCGTAGGAGGGCTTTGCTTCTGTGGCGGCATGAAGACACGAGTTCATTACGTTTGTTTAGTGTTGATAGTTCGGGCCGGCAGATGATTAGGAATTTTTCTTTGAGGCAGAGGTTACATCTTTTAGTTGAGCTGTTATACGGTGAGTGCGATGAGAGAATGCGCCAGGAAATAAAGTGATCGATGTTGTTGTCTTTGAGGGTCCAGATGTGCTTGCTGAGTTCGGTAGAGTTTCTGTGTTTAGCGTGGCGGAATGATGCGGTGTGGTTTCTGTATCTTGTTTTGAAGTCATTCTCTGTGAGTCCGATGTACGTTTCTGTCGTGTTGTTGTCTTTGCGTGTAACGGAGGCTTGGTAGATTACTGATGGTTGCAGGCAGTTTCCGTCGAGCGGGCATGTGTTCTTTTGTCGGCAGTTGCATGTCTTGTTGTTATCAATGGTAGTGGCGGTGGCGG